TTAATATCAAATAGTACAAAAATTATGGTGAGAAGTGAGGATAAAGATGCGATTTTCACGACAGGTTGTTATATAGTATTCCTAAAAACCGTATATTAAATTAGGATATCTCCGACGTTGTGTGTAATATATAGAAATAAGGATGGTATATATTACTAACATTAAACCTCGTGTCGGTGGATTTTGGACATTAATACTAATTAAAAAGTTACATGTGAATGCCCAACGATTTTCTTTCGTGTACTTGTACATACCGTTTCAATTAAAACGTTTCACTGACTTGTTTTACGACTAATTTGATGCCTTAATTGACACCGTGTAACGAAATATCTATGATAGTATTACAGGATTTAGTGCAGAATTTATTTAATTTCCTAACCAAATTATTTACATTCTTATCGACTTGAATAGGTATAATTATTTAGAACCAAAACAACTTTTTTTTAAAAGTTCAGAGGAGAATAAACTGAAATAATCTATCTCTTTAGTGAAAAATCGTAATATTACACCGGCACAAGAGTAAATTAGTTCTTCATAGTAAGAATAAAGTAGCTCCCGATCTTTGAAATTATCGAACCCCAAACGCGAAATCAGATCTTTTGCCGAATTTCATTTCATTTCATCACACTGACTAGTCTTATTTTGTTAGTTTTTCTCTGTAGAAACAATTAATTTTTTCGATAGGTAGGTTTCTTTATCATTAGAGGAAGAACCGAAGACCGTCTATTGAACAAAGTCTTAAAATAATAATAAAAATAATCTTCTTTCCCTGTGAATTTAAAATACTTGTGATGGACTTCAAAAATAATACATTTAATTTCACATGTAAATACCTAAATTGATTAAATAGACCGTGACTACCTTAAGTCTGATAAATAGGTTGGGTGAGGTAAGACAATATTAACAATTTGAGTTAAAGTTGAGAAATTTGAGAAGATTTTTAGAGACCTTTAATGATACAATTAAAAAAGCATGCTCCGTTTTATGTTTAAGATACCCACCTTTTTTCAGTTAAATCTCTAGAATGTGAAATTTATTATACTCAATTTTTATTTGGAATTTCGTTTCCCTGTGATTTTTGCTTACAGTGCTAAGGCCATTGTCGGTTTTATTATGTCTTAATAATGCGTAGCATATAGAAAACTTTACATTATCAATTTTCATTGACCTTACATAAGTAGTGCTTTAAAATTTAAAGTATAAAAAGCATCTCTCTTTGCGGGCATCAAATGGCTGAAGTTCTATTTACCTCTGGGAAAAAATTTCACAGATTTTAGGGGTATTTTGCAAGGTATATATAATGGAGGATGATAGAGTAACTGCAACTTCGGATTCGGCTTCAACACGTCAAAATACATGTAGATATGGTCCTGCGGTAACTTCCATTATTCCAAATCCCATAGAGTGGGACTTTCAGTATGTAAGGGTGGTTTTTCGGCGATATAAGAAACTGATTGAGCAATTCTGAATTCGGATTCAGCAAACCAAAATATATATAAACATTATCCTGCAGTGTTTTTTAGTCGGTTGCTACAATTATACCTAAAGCTTATTCCACCAAAGCGAGATTTTCGGTATTTTCTGTATTAAGGGCGGTTTTTCGTGATATAAAAAAAAATGGAGTGTTAGAGCAATTATGGCGCGGATTCGGGTTCAGAGCGTAAAAATACATAAGGGTACAAAGGTCTAGTCTTTGAAAGAGACTACTTTTCTTTTTTTTGCGGAACTGTTCGCCCCTCATATTTTAAAACCATTTCCTGCCAAAACTTAATCAGGTACTCTTTTTGACACTAAAACTAGATGCTAGTACTACACCATCTGCTTTCAACACAACTTCTGTCTGTCTGTTTCAAGCGATGTTGGTGATTTGCCGATATGACTGTGAGATTGCAGGCAATTTCTGCGATTTCCTTGGCGTCAAAGCTGTTGGATTTCTGCGTGAATCCAGTGATTACGGAAAATTGCGAACGATTTCCTTACAAAAATGTACATGTAGATATAGTCTTTCCGATATCAACTGAAGAACCAAAAGAATGACAGTATGTACCAGGTTCCTTCGCTGACGCAGCAACTCGGCATTGAAATATTTGAAAAACTTCTTCCCATATTTATTTAGCCATACCCATATAAGTACAGGTCTGGTCGAACTAAACGCGGAGGTGGTAGAAATATATACGCCCAGTTGAAGAATGCGAGCGCGGGCAAACGAAATACAAATACAGTTGCATTGGGCCACTGGGCAATAAATCTCAGCTGTTGACAAGGGGTCGACAAATTGCTCAGCAGTGCAGTGCAGCAATGCGGAATTTGGTGTGATTCAGGTAATTTTAATCTATTATAGGCACCTTCTATTTATCATAGCCAGGCGTTTTTTTTACATGTTGAACTGACTACGGAAAGACTATACTGCGGATTACGGAGAATGATTAGCCTCTCAATTAAATAGTTCATTTAACATCGAGCAGTGGCATAAACAAGAGAAGTAGGGATGATAGTAAGCTCTCTCTTACTTTTTTTTTGTTAAGCCTACTCTAAAATATGAAATTTATTACTTAGGTATAAATAAAATAAATTCACTGCGTAAAGTTTCTTTCCTTTTTAGAATCTATATACGCTACTGATACCAAGTATAATACATATTCCAGGACATATTCCAACTGAACAGTACTAGGCTCACTTTTTCATTTGAGATTTCTGAAACGTATGGGTTATTCTCGTAAATAATAACAATGCACGATGCACATGCAGCATCTTCTCTCTCTCCCCAGTCTCTTTCTATTATTTAAGCAATACTTACTTGAATAATTAATTAATTATGGAAGTGAGCATTTTAGTGTACAAATTTTGGTCAGCGGTTTCTCTCTCGACTAACACTGACTTGTTTTTTTAGCATATCTAAGTAATTACTACAAAATATATACTTACAATTAGTGTGCCCACATTATGGTAAACCAAAAAATGTTTAAGTAGCAATTTAAAAAATAACTGTTTTGCATAGATTTGTTTATAGTCATTTTAAGTTTTGTCCACACTTCAATAAAACCGAGAATGAAACAATCAAAACAACTAACTTTTTTAAAAATGCACTGTGATGTGCTATTAGGAACTTAAATTTTAACTGTACTGTAGGAATAAAAGTATCAGGAGTAGGTATTTCAATTATAATTAAATCTGACCATAAATCTAACTAGATCTCGCAAGACTAAAAAAATACTTGACAGATGCACTACAAGGTTAATTGCGCCGATCCCAATACTCTTTCTAAAAATAACATTGTTCTTTAAAAAAATATTTTTGGAAATACCTACTCCATATAAACAAAAAATTGTATCAGTAGTACCTATAAATACATACACCTCGACATACACATAACTAACAAAAAAAATGTTAATTTTGGAAAAAGTGCTTACAACGCTAAGATCATCGTCAGTTTTATGTTAAGAAAACACCACATTATCGATTCCCATCTATCTTGCACAATGTGCACAATGATTCCAAATTTAAAAAGTGTCACTAGGTATAAACAAAAATTGTGCAAAATTTACTTTAAGTATATCAATTCAGACACACTTTAATAACTATCTAAGTAATATTGAGCAGAAACAATAGATTTTAGCCCCAAAAAACAAAAATTTAACAGTTGGCTAATGCTCAAGAAAAACCCAAAGATTAATCAGTAACCTGCATATGATACTTTTTGCAGTTAATACATTTCAAAATATAAATTAGGAGGAATCATAATATTTTCTAGTATCTTATAAAAATAAAGGAATATTGAATAGGTAGTCATTGTTCGTTAGTAACTGCAATCACTTCGGGAAGTGGGTACATATCATTACAGAACTTGTAATTTTAACATATATGATGGTGTTGAGAATATGCTAATAACTTTGTTAAAATTAGAAGTTTTAGAAATTACCGAAGGGGAAACTGCTGGCCAATATTTGCTCACTAAAATTCTAATTTTCATAATTATCTAAGTATTACTCAGATCCACATACACATCGTACTGTGTTTTAATATTTAAATATTACCGAAGTACCTATTACTCAAATAGTACCTAATCAGTATTACTCAAATATTACTCAAGCTTGTACGCCAAATTACTCCAGCAGTTTCCTCTCAGAAATTACTGTTTACTATCAATTACCTATATGCCTAGTAAATTTCTGTTTTGATTTTGCTTTTATAAATTCACACTGGCCCCTACTGATGTAATAATTTATTTAATCAAAGAAAATGCTTAAGTAGTGAAATTTTTTAAAATATATTCTCACTGTTAAAACTTTGGTTTTGAGTTCCTAAATTAGCAAATATAAAATACTTATCTCTATTTCATACAGTCTACTCATATTCAGTTATAATTTATATAATATAAGAGTATAGGTATTCTTTTTTTATGGATTTACTACAAAAGAAACAAATAGTTAATTATACACAACAAAATTCCATTATTGTGAAATGAACAAAACTAACAATGTACCTCTCCAAAAGTATAGGTACCCTCAGTTAAATAAATAATAATAAAAAAAACAGGTGTCCTTGAACTCTTAGTGATGAGAGTTGCAAATTCTATTTAATATGCAGCTGTTTAATATAATAGGTACCCAAACACCTTTCTGGGAAAATTATGTTTGTTGTCTTTAATTGGAAAAAAAACAATTTAGAAAACTGTGCTTGCTACTGATGCCAGATAACAAAGTAGGTGTTATAAAATATATAGTCAAATGCCGCATTGACAAAAAATTGGAAAATCGCCAATAGAAAAACATGTGTATTCTGTATATTCCTCACATTTTAAGATCCATTGTTAAATAAAAATTTTAAAAGTATAACGAAACAGGCAAGTTATTGTTCTAATTAATAAGAAAATCGGCGGTGCGCAACCGAACAGAAAATCAACTCTCGCTATATTCCGTGACGTAAATGTGAAAAATAATTGGGTGATTTCATGCTGTCAGATGAAATGATAAAATGGGACTAGGCATCTAAAAACTCACCGCGATTGAAATACAGTTATCGTCAGCTCCTTGTGGAAATTTCACAATAAATTTTGACCCAGCCTTTTCTTCTGAATCATTTAGGGGTCGAAACCTACACACGACTTTAATACTGTCTTCAGCAGGAATTTCACGTTCTCCCGACATTTTTTACACTTAAATCACTCACAGCACGGTAATAAATAAATAATGAACTAATTAAAACTATAAATGATACATTTGTATAAAAGTTTCGGTTCTTTATATCACTGACATTTGCCTACATCGAACAGCCAGCCATATTTTGGTACTGGACTGAACAAAAAATCGGTACCGAAGACTGCATACAGCAATTTTGCGCCCTCTAGCACGGAGTAGTTAAAGCAGTTACATACAAGATATCTATTTTAATGGAGCATGCTTATTTATACAACATATTACCAAATAAAGTTAAAATAAACAGAGAGACGATTATGATTATTCATGAAACTTTTCCGACATTCTATACATTCGACAAAACTTTTTTTAATAGATTATTAAAGAATAAATTTAAGAAAAGAAAGAAAACTGTAGTCGTTTTAAAATAGCAGCATTCGAACCTACAGAGTAGGGAGACTAGACAGAGTAATAGTATGGAGTTTATACAAGGTGTAAAGCCTCCGTGGTAAAAAAGTGAGCCATTTCTTGGGTCACGTAAAGGCGGCACCGATGTAATTAAGTTTAGTATGATTATGACATATATAAATATATGGATTATGATTACTTTTGCTACACTGCAGCATGAAAAACTGCGCAACGCCAGTGAATCTTCGTGTGAATATCTATGCAACCTACAAAGTAGCGCATGCAGTATGGTTGCGTGCAATATTTTCGTAACTCCACGCGCTCTAGATGTAGCGGTATTTTTAGGAGTTGCAGCCGCTGCAAATAATATCATATCGGCTGAAACTTTTGCAGCAGGTTGCGTATACATTTATCGTGTACGGTGTCGCATAGATGTCCACAAATAAGAAGTGGATTTATGGAAGGGCGAAATGGGCGGTGACTATTAGACGCCTTCATTATAGCCATCTTTCTCTATAGCACGGATTTCTATGACTTACTTTATCCCTCTCACGTAACGGCCGATGAACCATGGGGACTTTCCGACTCTGTATATTTTGTGACCCTGAGCCCTGAGGGTACAAATGAATTTGGTTTTCGTGTGCGAATACGAATGTACATTGCACAGTAATAGCAGGTCAAATATATTCGCACTTTGAATAATGGATTTTGTTTAGATTCTAATTGTCATAACAGCTCGTTCTTATAGATTTTGACTCATCATCAAAGCCGTTGGTTATGCCTAGATTAAATAAACTAAAGTTATATGTGTAAGTAAGTTTTACAATGAGAAAGCCATATTCTAGTTACTTTTAAACTATCTGCCATACCTCAATTTTACTCTATAGGTACCTACCTACCTTAGTACGTACTAATTATAAAAAATACTTCTTTACTTTTGCGCTTTGCAATACGTTCGTGCCAATTCGAGCTTGTGTTTCTAACACAGATTACAGATTATTTCGAGATTCGTTTCGATTCTTCCTACCATTAAACAACATTCCTGTGACTGTGATTTGTGGTTCGAGCTTCCAGCACTCATTTTGAATATTAATTTTTTAAAATATTCTTGTTTCTATAAATCTCTTGTTTAATGTACTTAATGTACTCAAAATTATTGGAATTTAGGATTGAGTCGAGATTCGTTCAAGCCTCAAATTTTCAAGCGAAGTTGGCGTGGGAAAGTGGGGAAGAGGAATCAACAAAATATAAATAATATACCTACTCTACTCTACTAGAGAAGAGAGAATCTGACGCGATGGGAGTGTGATGTGATGACAGGTTGGGGATTTCTTTTCTGTGGGGAGTACGTAAAAATACACTAAATATTATTTATGTAAATTATAGTGAAGTAAAGTTAAATTGCATTATCACTATTATCAATTGTAGTCTGGTGGTGTCAGTGGTATCAAATTATGATAAGTTTTTAGATAGTATTCATTTTTGTTTATTTGAATAAAATATGTTTTCAATTTATAAAGATATGACATGAATATGAACCAAGGTTATTTGCCTCCTTGAAAACTATTATGGTATGTAGTAGTTAATGAGTAGTTAATGTTAATAATTTATGTTACTTTTAATATACTTTTAGTCATTAAGACTAATGTCTGCAGTAATAGCAACTTCAGTGTCTAATTCAAACAAAGTAGACGACTCTGAAAGACTCCTAAAACAATTATTAGAATGTGTTCAAGAATGTCAGAAAAGATACGGAGGAAAAACTGAGTTAGCAACTGAATTTGATAGTTGTGTTGCAGGATTGTGCTTCTCTTTAGAAACAGTTTTTCTTCACGGATTAAGAAATAAACCTTATGCGAATGTTGACCATTCGTCATCGACGTTGAAGCAGGTCTCTGATATTGTAGCACAAAGTTTAAGCATTGGAAATGAAAATTTATGTATGTACAGGGCATGCAGCAATTGATTTAAGTTTTGATATACCTACTTATTTATAAATTTTAGCATTTTGGCCATTTGTTAAAAAGCATCTAACAAAACACGAACAGGAACGTTATGCAGTACTGAAACATATTTGGACTGATACGGGCTGTGGAAGAGCTTGGATTCGTTCTGCTTTAAATGAACGTTCTTTAGAAAGGCAAGAACTGTCCCTCTCAATAATTTAATTGTTTATAATAAAAAATAATTATATTTTTACAGATATTTTCATACTTTACTGAGTAATTCAAATATATTAAAGGAGTATTATGAGTCTTGGGCTATATTACGAGATGACGAGAAGAATAGTATGTTGCCTAATATGGCAGCAGGTATATATTTGCATAAATTTCTGTTAAAAATTATAAAAATTTTCTTGGTTTTAGGTTTAGGATCTATATTATTTGCTGTCAGTATCGATAAACCTGAATTAAATAGTGGTATCACTCACAGACCAGAAATTTTTAAAAGCAAGGCAGAGCCTATTATTCAAGCACCAGTCCCAGGTAAACATTAATTTTTATTGTAATAACATAACAAAAGAAAAAATTTACAGACACGCAAATGAGATTTTCTCTTCTGTTGAATACAGGATGTAATATATTTATATCAAAATTATGTACCTAGCATATATTTAAAAACCATGGTTTTGAAATCAATTACTGTTGATTGCCTTTTAAATTACCATTATCTTAAAAAGAAGGATAAATTTATTTAAGTAACGTGTAGAGTATAAATGTGGGTTTCCCTCATCCTAAAAAACAGATATTTTTTTATCATATTGCTCATTATGGGATTCACTCATAGATATTCTATTTTTAAATTAAAGCGGTGATAAATCATTTGATAACTAATACTTATATCAATAAGGAAACTTTAAGTATATTACTCATTACAAGATCTTATCACCATGAGATAGAACAATATATAATGTAAAATTTATCATTTATTTTATACTTACCAACTTGGTATACCTTTTAGTGGAGACAAAGGACAAAAAGGAAAAAAAGAAACGAAAAGTAGCACGCCAGTTCATTTCGTTTGAGGATGATGATAGTATCCTTTCTACAAGTGTTCCTTCTAGTTCTAGCAGTACTGCATCAGACAGCAATTCAATAGGAGAAAGTAATTCTTATAAAACGAGATCCAAACACTCTTTCAGTCAAATAAACAAAGATAAAACTAATAAAATGAATGAAGTAGACAAAAATACTGTAAATGAAGAAAACAAACACCCTAAAGTGATTAAAAAACTCTCTATTGAGAACAGTGGTTCTCGAGATAAATTTTCCTCTACAATTCCTGAAACTTTGACTCCTATAGCTGAAACGGGAGTAGGTGAATTAACACCTGTGTCTGTAGAGCTTAACAAGAATTTTGATTCACCAGACATTTCAGATGACATTTTAGAACTACCAACAGACATAAGTGCTGTACTTACAGCGGTAGAAATTAAAAACCAAGAGGAAATTCACAAAAGGGATGAGAAAATTGTATTTTTAGCAAAAGAAAATGAATCTCTGAAAGAACAAGTTAAAAAGTACGTTAGTGCAATACAAATGTTAAGGAGAGATGATGAAGGTCTGCAGAAAGCTTTGGAGGGTTTGCAGATCGATCAACAGCCAGATTATAGGAGTGAAGCCAAAATTTTTGAAAAAAAATTGGTCCAAGTACGAAATTTTACATATTTGCTTTATTTCAGTATTTTAGTTTTTAGTTTAAAAATTTTAAATACAATTGGTTGATTTTGATTTTTACATAAAATTTTAAAATATATTATTTCTTGAGACAATTATTAAAAGAGTTAAAATCGTTACCATAGAGAGTGTCTCAAATTAAATTGAATCAGTTAAATTATTAAAAGCTATAGTAATTTCTCCAACAATTAAATTACATCAAATGAAAAACAATTGAGTCATTCTTTGCAAACACCCCATTTGTCACTAAATGTAAAATTTTCCGAAACAGACACCAATGTGTTACTTGTGGTGGTTTAATTACACTTTATATACATACCTGGCAAAGATTGGGTTTCAGATTGGCGGACAAATGAGTATGTCAGAACCGAATATGAAAATAGGCATGATAAACAAAGATAGCCATAGTTTCGTTAGAGATGGTCTTCTTTGCAATGTTGCCCGTTTTGTCAGTGGTGGAGTGTACATCAAATGTACTAATATTGAAAATAAATCATACATATTTGCTACTTTCTAAAATTATTGTCATGCTTATCAAATAATAATGAAATGTATGAAAATAATTTAATTAGATGATATACATAGTTTGGATCAGTTAATTTGCCGGTCCGATAAGAAATAAAATTGATTTTCTTAATAACGATAAACAAAAAAGACATTCTAAATTGAAACTAAATAAATTTTCTAAATACTGATAAACGAAAACATAATTCTAAAATAAAAACTCAAAGAAACGGTTGAACATGAACCTCGCATTAACCAACCTATCGTAAAATGCAGTTCTTAAGGAAAGGTCGGGTAGCCCCGGACACTTAAATGAATTGCAAATAAAAATATAAACAAAGGACCACGCAATTTCTTTATGGAAAATGGACTTCCGTTAAATTGGTTGGAATTTTGATATGTTATGTATTTTGTCCTTCTGATCAAATGTCTCAATGGGCAGAAACTCCTGCGACCTCAGGATTTTAAGGTACAGCTGGCTGAAGTTGGAACTATTCTGCACTGGAGATGCGTTCATATGGGTCAAATCTGTGCCATTTTTTAAGTTGTAGGTGTTCAGGCGAGGTTTGAAAACACCTCGCAAACTTCGTTAGCAATTAATTGTAGTTCATTGTCATACTCCCGATAGGTATATATGTCATATGACGTCATGACATGTCATCATTCGTTATAAAACGTCAAAGTTCAAAGTACTTTTCTTTCTGTTACTGGACGCCTCACATTGTTTTATAATCTAATAAGCAGCATTAACGGTCTCATCCTGTCACGCATCGTGAAGTCATTGCAGGTAAGTTTTGGTCATCCAATGTCATAAGACGTCATCTCATGTTACACAAGGTAATAGTTCTTTTTGAGTAAATCAGGTTTTACTGTAAGTTAATCTCTGAACATGTTGTATCGATTCGTAAGCAAATAATTGAAATATATTATCAAATTCCTGATGTGTAGCTGTGTCATATGACGGACATGTCATTAGGCGTCATAAAACGTCAAAGTACTTTTCTGTCTCTTATCGGACGCCTCTCATTGTTTTATTATCTAACAGGGTTCGTAGCGGCCGGGAAAACCGGGAATACCGGGAAAAGTCAGGGAATTCGTTATTCTTCATCAAAAACAGGGAATAGTCAGGGAATTTTAAAAATATTCATGAAAGTCAGGGAATTTAATGTTTGCAACTGGAAATTTTGTGAAAGCCGGCCCTAGGTTATTGAAAGAGAAAACTATTTGTGGTTTTGAAACCTTTATAAGAGGTTCTTAGGGTATAAAAAAGATTATGGAGTCCAGTCGAGAAAAAATTTAATGCATAAACACCAATTAGTATGTAAAAATGAACTACAAGTGACCTGGATTTTATTTTTATAAGTCAGGGAAAACCTGGAAAAGTCAGGGAATTCTTCATTACTTTTGAACTATGAACCCTGTCTAATAAATTATCTTTCACTATTCTAGTGAAAAGCTAAAATATAGTTACCAACAAACAGATTTTATATTGAAGAAAACAATATACTAAAACAATAATAAATAATAATAAACAATAACGAAAACAATTAATGAGATATAATATGATAATATATTTCAATCGATTGGTTACAAATTGATATGTGATGATTAGATATTCAATTCACACAAAACCGTGATTTTATCAAAATAATTACTTTTCTCTAATGAAAGTAAAATGACGTCTTATAACATTGGATGCCCAGAACTTATATGCAATGAAGTCACGATAATCATACTGAGACCGTCAATGCTGCTTATTAGATAATAAAACAATGAAAGGCGTTCGATAAGAGACAGAAAAGTACTTTGACGTTTTATGACGTGTAATGACATGTCATGACATCATATGACACAGCTATGCATCAGGAATTTGATAATATATTTCAATTATTTGCTTACGAATCGATACAACATGTTCAGAGATTAACTTACAGTAAAACCTGATTTACTCAAAAAGAACTATTACCTTGTGTAACATGAGATGACGTCTTATGACATTGGATGACCAAAACTTACCTGCAATGACTTCACGATGCGTGACAGGATGAGACCGTTAATGCTGCTTATTAGATTATAAAACAATGTGAGGCATCCAGTAACAGAAAGAAAAGTACTTTGAACTTTGACGTTTTATAACGAATGATGACATGTCATGACGTCATATGACATATATACCTATCGGGAGTATGACAATGAACTACAATTAATTGCTAACGAAGTTTGCGAGGTGTTCTCAAACCTCGCCTGAACACCTACAACTTAAAAAATGGCTTACGAATCGATACAGCATGTTCAGAGATTAACTTACAGTAAAACCTGATTTACTCAAAAGGAACTATTACCTTGTATGACATGTCATGACGTCATATGACATATATACCTATCGGGGGTATGATAATGAACTACAATTAATTGCTAACGAAGTTTGCGAGGTGTTTTCAAACCTCGCTGAATACCTACAACTTAAAAAATGGCACAGATTTGACCCATATGAACGCATCACCAGTGCAGAATAGTTTCAACTTCAGCCAGCTGTATCTTAAAATCCTGAGGTCACAGGAGTTTCTGTCCATTGAGACATTTGATCAGAAGGACAAAATATATAAGATATCAAAATTCTAACCAATTTAACGGAAGTCCATTTTCCATAAAGAAATTGCATGGTCCTTTTCTGTCTTTATTTTTAATTTTAAAATCAAACTATGAATTTTTTCAACCATATTAATTAAAAATTAGTAATCATAAAAATTTTTAAAGAAATATATTAAAAATACTTTGGCCTTAATTTTTTGGCAACACAAAATATGGCGGGGAGCCCTGGACACAGTAATCAATGGTAGCCCAATCATTTCTTGGCCCTACAAACATCACAATAATAATAAATATCTGAAGAGTCCATATGAAGACAGTCTTCATGGGCCCAGTCATTGCATTCATGGCACTGAATTCAGTCTTCTTTAAAAGTTTTGTCATAGTTGATGAATCCGATTTCTTTTCCTCGATCTTCTATGGAAGATTGAAATTTTTTGTTATCTTCAACGTCTTTTTAGTGCTTTTGCCTTTTTGTTGTTTTGCTTCGTCCTTTTTATTGCCTTTACTTTTCTGTATGTCTTCTACATTTTTTTATATTGTGAACAAGTCAAAATTTCGCTATTTTAGGTTTTTCGAGCCCGCGTTTTTTTGACGTGTCAGGAAATGGTAACAACGGATTTATTAAATCTGTCGTGCTAGTTGAAGGCACCGGTTCAGTTACAGGCAATGTAAAACTAACGGAAGGTACTGCCGATGAAGAATTCACTGCTAAAGGCTGATTAGGAATGTTTTTCCTCTATTATTTCTCCCCTTAAATTTCAGCATATTTCTACAACAATAGAATCATTTAAAAATAATTTTCATAAATAAACAAATTCATGAAGCAATTGTAGTTTGTTAAAACAATATTGCGAAATTCAAAACTTACATGTCCAGGGGTAGAGATGGGACGTGAGAATATTTTCCTGAGAACATTCTCGGAGAACGGAAAGTTTCTGAGAAAATTCTCTATCCTTAAATTCTCCAAGAATTTAACGTACGGCACACCTCTTAGGTCCATTAGGAGAGTAGTCAACGTGCAATGTAAGTCCAATCAATATTCATCAATATTTGTGTTTTATTAACCCGTTTTAAAATACGTTTAATGCAGGCAGTGCACATTTTCTTGTTTCATGTGAAACAGATAGTAGAGCGAGACACGTGTTTTTGTTTTTTTTCGATTTGATCACTGAGAAAATAATTTTTCTTTATTAATTTTAAACTATCAGCACTCAATATTTAAACCTCATTTCGAATTTGTTTATCGTTATTAGGAAATTATTTTTATACATTTCATTATTATTTGATATGTATGAAAATAATTTTAGAATATTAGAATTCAATTTTAGTACATTTGTTGTACACTCCACCACTGACAAAACGCTACTGAACGTAACAGCGAGAGTCAAACCATTTAAGAAATTATTAGAGTTGAGACTGCGTACATCCCACCAGGGCTAACCAAGTGTGATTCTGGATAAATCTCGGCAACACCGCCAAGAAACCGCTCCTTATGAAACTATGGCTATCTTTGTTTATCATGCCTATTTTCCTATTCGTTTCTGTCGCACTCATTTGTCTGCCTATCTGAAATCCAGGCTTTGCCAAGTCTGTATATTTTAGCCATCTGAAATTTTATAAAATATTTTTTATTTAAATTAAAAAAAAAGATAAGTAGGTAGCGTTAATCTCTGTAAGACTTCTAAAATTCCTACTATAAATATGATCTTATAAATAAAACTAACATATTTTGAAACGTCCTGAATAGAAATAGTTCATTCTTATTAACACAGGTTGCTGAGATGCATGCAGAATTAATGGACTTTAACGTTGTACTTCAACAAACCCTTTGTCAAAAAGATGCCCTCTTAGAGAGGTTGAAAAGCGAATTGGAGTCACTAAGGGGACCTATGCCCTCTGACAGTTTAAATTCCGAGGAAGGGGGTAATGTAAATGTGTGGATTCCATCTGCTTTTCTAACAGGTAGATTGACTGAAAATATGTATTTTATTTTATTAACCGTTCAGCAATTAATTTTTTGATTTATGTATCTTAAGGAACTGGTTCCAATTCTCATCATGTCTACCAAGTGTATCTAAGGGCGGGTAATGATGAATGGAACATTTACCGAAGATATGCTCAATTCTATGTACTCCACACTGATTTAAAAAAATTAGATCCAGTTGTGGGAACATTTGATTTTCCTCCAAAGAAAAGTATAGGAAAAAAGGTACTTAATCTTATAAATAATGCGAGAGTAAACTCTCGCATCAATAAAGTTTAATTATTTTAGGACTCTGCATTGGTAGAAGATAGACGAAAGAGATTACAAATATATCTAAGAAGAGTTCTTGCTCATTGGCCAGAGCTGTCACACTGTAATAGTAGATTCTTACTAGAACAACATTTAGGTTTCTTCAAGTAAGTGATTTTTTTAAACTTTCACCACCTATTTACATTATATTAATTGAAAGTATTCATTTGCGGCATTTTTTAAAAATAGTTCTAGTTTTATTTTTAAATGGATTTTTTTTATAAGTAACTTCATTTATGTTTTCATTTTCATGTTTTATATATATAAAAAAAACATCTTTAAGTATTTATTTCAATATTAGCTGTTTTGGTTCCCATAAAATCCGGTTCCGAACCGTTCTAATCATGAGCAGTCTGAAATATGCGTTCGAGTTTACTTTGAACGGTTCAGAATTTCGCAGATGTTTGTTTTGGTTTAATTCAAACTTGATTCCGAACTATTCTGAATCATCCAAAGTAGTTCTAGCTCCCTAGCACGAATTACTTAGAACTGTATTATTTGGCACATGCGTAGTTATTTCCATTTTCCCAAGCTCCGTTTGCCATTCACAATTTTTTCATTTTCTGTTCTTCGTTTAAGAAAAGTATCTTTTTATTGGGTTTTATGAGTATATATTTGTAATGCGTTCTGGTTTTCAAATAACTTTGGATAGTTCCGAATCGTTCAGAATTTTGTCTATGGCATTTATAGTTCTGCGATGATTCTGGACTGTTCAGAAATAGAGAATCAAAACAAAGCTATTGATGCCTATATTAATTATTACAATTAATTACGAGTAACAATATAATAATTTAATATAAATCTGTCATAAAATGATAAAAAAATTTTAATAAATGGTATACCTATTCCTGAATCCAAAGTTTTACCATAATGTAACGTGTATAATACCACTCATTATCAATACTTGTTATTTTTCTCTAGTATATAATAATATCAATGCAGTGGCAATTAATAAGTTAATGCTAATCGTGAGACTGACGAGAAAGGAGAATCGAACCAGATCCTAGACTTATGATGAATAAAAAGAATGCAACGACTAACGAGTAATGACTGCGTTATTACCCCACAAGTATTGTGTGTCAGGAGGTTATTAGGAATAAATAATCTTGTAAGGAGTACTATTCAAATCTAATACTCGATTAATTTGGATCCTACCAAGTAACCATTACTGAATGTAGTGGATAATTACAATATTGACAGCATTATGACTCACTCTATATTAGTGAGCAAAAACACAGTCAGTTGTAATGCAATTTAAAAATAGATTGCATCGTCTAGTGATGCGCACTATCAAATAAATTAAGCTATCGAATAATTAGTCATTTGTAGATTTCAATTTTTGAATAAAAGGTCTAGCCGGATAAGCATGGTGATATGGCGCCCGTGACTAATGTGTAAAATAATATAAGTTTTCATATTAACATACAATGAAAACATCATACATACGGCTTTTAGCTCTGGTTCTCAAACTACTTTTGAGATAATGTGCATCATATTAATTAGAATTAACTACAACAGATAAAAATATGGCATATTTCAGAGAATATTACAGATTTTTACATGATTTTCAATGGTCTAAAAAAATGGCAAATAATTTTGATAATTTTCAATATACTTACCCCAACCAAAAAAATCCTAGATATTCTTTAGAGCAGTATTTCTCAAATTTTTTCGAATCTGGAACCCTTTTCCATTTGGAAGGTAAGCGTGGAACCCTACAAGCTTGATGCAAGTTAAAGCGTTGCTGCTACAAGATAGCAAAAATTTTTTTTTTTAATTTTGAAATATTGCTAAATGGAGTAAATTAATTAAGAAAAGCCACTGTTTATTGTCTTAGATTTTTTTTTATTTAAATGGTCACATACAGGGTGTGCCATTTAACACCCCGCTGTCAATATCTCCGAAATGAAGAAATTTATTTTAGTTTCAGAAGCAGAGGTTGATAAGTCCGTCGAATAGCTTCAAATTGTAGTTAGAACTGTTAGTTTAAATCTTTCTGTATAGATGGTGTGGCGATACTAAAATATTTTTTGTTCCCTGGAACGTGGAAATGCAGTCCAATTGAAAGATCGTTAAATTTTGAGTAATTTTTGTAATATAAAGTTTTTCCCAATATTTACTTGTTTTCGAGACATGTCGACTTCAATATGCAATGTATGACGTAACAGGAAAATCAGTTATTTTATCTAAATCACACTGAGATAAAATATTCTTTTAAAATATTGTTATAATGACTATTCACACCATATACTAACTAACAAACAATAAATTGTAAAAAAACAAATGATCAACTACAGAAAAAAAATTAAATTGTACAGTTGTAAGTCTTATAACTAGTATAGTTAAATTGAAAGGCGCAAACTGATAAAACTGTAATTATTAGAAAACTAATATGTACTATCTGAAATAATTTAAATAGTTTGACCTCGAGTTTAACCCTTTCACTGCTCCAGACATATTCGCTAAAAATTTATAGGGCTCAAATTGCTCCAGACGGATAAATTCACTTGAATAGTTAAATTGGATCAGGCTGCTCAAACCATATATATTCGTAACCATGCTCATAGTGACTCGGTTGTTGCAATTGTTATGGAGAATTTTTGCGGGCGGAGTTTTTAGCGATTATGACAAATATTTTTATGGAAGGAGGTACTGGTACTGATTGTTCATCTCTCTTTCAGTTTCTATTTAGTACAGCTGTCGATATACTGTATTTTATTTAAAATAAAATCGTAAAATTTATCGTAGCTATGTTCATATGTATTGCGCAGTGAAAGGGTTAACACTATTGAATATTTTGATAGTTTTTATTCGATAGTGTCCATCATTAGCATCGCACTCTAGTGACAACACAGACTAGACGGAGGAAATGCTTCTGCGTAGACAAGATTTCACATTTTTAAAAAATACAGATTTTTATTGGAGGAAATGCATGAACAGGAATACATTATTTTTTTTATTTGCAGGGATCAGAGGGAAGACGTGAAAAATAAAAAAAATATTTTTTCTGCAAGAAGACCAGGGGAGTCATCTAATAATTATTCAGGGCTGTAAAATTGTCGGTGATAAGTTAAAAGTTATTTATTATTTTAATAATTTAATCAAGTAGCAAATATATTGTTAATATGTTATATTAACGTATAAATTGTAATTAATAAATATCACAGAAAGACAGGTATAAACATCTGGGCTCCATTTTAATATTAACAATTTGTTAATTAAAAATGTTTTGCAAGGAAAAATATTTCATCATCACTGGTGCAACACTAATTGGACCTTGACTCCATTTCTTAAGAAGTTACTATCTCTTACCATTCATTGCCATTATTGACACCATTTCTGTATCTCAACTTTTGTCTTCATCTATCCGCATATACTGATTCTTCATGATCTGGAAGGCCCCACTGGGTTCTGCAGGCTATAATTGTCCAGTTTTTTTTATAGTAATATATCTGTGTTGTGCTATTTGTATTTAACATTCACTGAGTACGGAAACTTTGAGCAAAAAATTTTGTGGTGATTCTACTTATGACAATAATATACGAGTTCCAATAACATTTTTTTTGAAAACTCATTAAGGGAGTAACATAACTTAAAAATTGTTTTTTAAATTACTATTTTGCCATAACTTTTTTTCACCTAAGAAAAAGAAATAATAATTCTGAAGCTTTAATAGAAAATTGTATTATTTGATATTATTAGTTTATTAAAAGATATAGGTACCTTGCAAATAGATATTCTTGCTCCAAATTAATAACATTGTTTTTGAGAAAAAAAAAAAAAAAATTAAGGGAGGAAACCACATTAGGAGGTTGATTTTCAGGCATTTCTCATGAATTTTCTTGAGTGGGATAAATTGATTAGGATTTGATGAAACTTTGACATTATTTTATCAATATTTTGAACTACATGTACAAATTTTTTCAAGTGTTGAAAATACCGAAGTTATGGGTTGTTATGTTGTTGTTATGGCATTATTAACATGTTTTCTAAGAATGTGAACGTCATTGCGGGTAAAAATTGTGTTCGAGAGAAATCGATTTTCACCATTCTTTTTCCACTTATTTTGAATAAAATTATGATATTCCAATTGTTGGTTCATGTTCTTTGCAATTTCATAAAGAAACAGTTTCAATTATCATAACCATCGGTTCACAACTTTTTGAGCTAGAGTTCCCGTGAATAAAAAAAATGCCATTTCGAGAAAAAAGCGTTTGAAGATTTCCGAAAACTAGAAATTTGAGAAAGTTGTCAATAAATATAGTGCTTTCTGATCAATCGGCGATTCCAACACCATATAGCAATCCTTTTTCTACCTCAAAGGCATCATTCTGCCCTCCGCCCTACATGCTGTGGGTCCGAGCGCTAACTCAATGGGCGTTCAGTTCTAGGCTCATAAAATCGAAACGAATAGGAATTTTGTTTTGAAATTTTGGCAGCATATTATTGAATAGTTATACTAACAATTTATGCAAAAAAAATCCGATTTTGTGAATCTCCTAATATGGTTTCTCCCCTTAATATTTTATGTCCATATTTTCTGTTCAAATCTCTGTAAATTACTATTTTAAAATTTCTTAATATTTAGAAATCATTGAATGTAGTTAAAATAATGTTTGCAATGAGGAATTCAGAATTTTAACTTTTTAAAACAGTAAAGCAGGGGTCGGCAAGTAATTTTAGGTGGGGTCCGGATACTTTTGAAAATTTTTAACGAGGTCCAAAAAAAAAATTCATTTTTCTTACTAATTTTTTATTTTAATTTGGACTGAAATTTACGCTCCCTACTAACCATTAAGAACTCAAATCAGTCGCACAATTATAAAGTACTAGAAAAAATATTTTTTAAATAATCTATTAAAGTAATTTATACTTTAAAAAATGTTGGCGGTCCAGTATTTTACCTTCCACAGTCTGGACTTGGACCGCGGTCTGCCAGTTGCCGACCGCTGCAGTAAAGTATTTTTGAAAAACTAGCAAAATAAAAAATCGTGATTAATTTTCTAGACAGTAAGAGCCATTAAGGCCCTTTAGGGCTTTGGAATTTAAATTGCCATTCATAAGTACTAATTGTTACTAAGTATACCAGATTTGAAAAAAATTGCTTGATGGAAAAGTTATTACACATAAATAAAAAAAATTTTTGCAAATAACTTCATTAAGTTTTCGAAAAAATACCATAAGAAACCTTACATCTTTCAATAGGTTTTTGCTTCAAAAAGAACCAGCAAAGAGTGACTCCGAAAATCGTCCATTTTGGCATACTCGTAATTCGTTAAAAATTTTGTGCTAAATTATTGTACATCATTAGAACGTGTTACTGAGAAAGTTCCAAGATGAGTTCAGCTTTGGTTTTGGAGATATGAGTGATACATGTCATAATACTCGTGATCTCATATATCGAGCATATCACTTTAAACCTTTAAGATTCACTGTTTTTTAGATCATCAAGGTCAAGGTGGTTACGTAGGTTTTCGGAGTCGCTGATTACAAATCTAACAATCTAGAACCGCGGGAGGACGATAGGTGGCGCTTTTGCCTGCAAGAGTTGTGCTTGAAAAAATTAAAGGTTTGTGCAACTGGCCGCCCGAGCACTTGGAGTTCCAGCGAGCACCTCTGAAGTACCCTGATTACTCTTTCTCCTCTAATAGTATAATTAGATTTAGGTATTTTTGCTTACAGGCTTTAATTAAACTGTTTTTTCTGCTATTCAACCTATTTGGTCAATCTTTTTAGATTATTTCCACTCTGCAATTATCTCTGAAAAATGCCTTCTTCTATAACTTGTCTCGGTTGTAAAATTCAAAAAAGATCAAAAAATGAAAAGTTTTTTGGTGCTAACATTCTGACTTTATCAACTATTAATAATTTACGAACGAAGTACGAGTATAACCCAAAAAGACAAACACCGTTAGCTTGGATCCACTATTTTGAATTTTGCAAATCTGAACTCGGATTTGTAATCAGCGACCCCGAAAACCCCTGTACACTGGTCGAATCTGGTTCAATTTCAAATATTTTGTCTGCCATATTGGATCCACCGTCTTGAATAAGCAACCCCAAAAACCTAAGTAACCACCTCGACCTTGATTTAAAAAACAGTGAATCTTACAGGTTTAAAGTGATATGCTCAATACATAAGATCATGAGTATTATGACATGTATCACTTATAGCTCCAAAACCAAAGCTGAACTCATCTTGGAACTTTCTCAGCAACAGGTTCTAATGATATACAATAACAGCACAAAATTTTTAACAAATTACGAGTTTGCCAAAATGGGCGATTTTCGGGCTGTTTTTGGAGTCACTCTTTCACTTTGCTCCATAAATGTTTTGCATTTTTGTTCTGATCAACCTTCCATATTTCATGCTCATTGGTCAGAAACATTTTTTCTATCCTCTTGATTTTTGTGGTTTTAAACGTGGCAATTAAGAGTTTATGTAAATATTAATTTATAATTCCATAAAAACCCAGATGTTGCACTACATACTTAAGTTTGTTTAATTTGTATTTTATTGTATAGTAATTTAATATTTAGTACACATAGCTTTAATTTAATTATTGTTAAGATGATATTAATTATGATATGGATATTATTTTTATATATATTATTGTATATTTGTTATTTGTTCATTTTAAATAATCTGTTTTTAACTTCAGTAAATACATAAAATATAAAAACTTAAAAAAGATTATTTATTGTATATATGAATCACAAGATATCTTCGATATATAAATATAAATTTTAACAATGTAAAACATTTTAAAAATCAACAATTTCTAAGACTGGATTTCTGCCAAAGTGGAACAAGCTTCTAATAGTAACTGAGCCAATTTATATTCCGTTTGTTTCTCACTCAAGCATCCTAGAGTATACGTGGCCAAATTAGTGATGCTACTTAAGGAACCGCCAACACACCATTCATCATCCTGCAATGGATAAAATAAATTAGCAGGAAAAAATATTCGGTTAACATTTAATAAATTTATGTCAAACTATGCAATTCAGTTGCAGTAATAGTATAGAAATTTTTAATTTTGTTCACACTGCAGTAAAGTTAAACCCTCCCTTTTAAACCCTGAACACATTGTCAGCAAAAAAAAAACAATGTGCCACTGCCTGGAGCTATGTTGATTAAGCAAGGTAGGTTTTAGTACTAGGATTATGCGGGACCATTTTTAACATTTACATTTTCAGATTTTTGTTAAATAAAGCAAATGATGTTATTTATATCAGTCATATACAAGCCAACATACAGGTTTGGAAAGTCCCCATGGTACATCAGCCGTTACGTGAGAACGATAAAGTAAGTCATAGAAATCCGTGCGATAGACAAGGATGGTTACATTGAAGACGTTTCATAATCTGAATAGTCACTTCCACTTCTAACCCGAAACGGGTGGTGACTATTCAGATTATGAAACGTCTTCACGCTAGCCATCCTTGTCTATCGCACGGATTTCTTTACTTTACTTTGTCGCTCTCATGTAAAGGTAGATGGACCATGTGGATTTTCCAGCCCTGTATAAGTTAGTTATAGGTAAAAAATTAACCTAAACTTTCGAAAAGTAACAATGGTACTTTGATGATTTCATTATGGAAATTATAATAAGTCGGTCTAATGGCAAGACGTGAAACTATTGACTGAAATTATTTACTTGTGTAGGGATTGAGACACGCAGATTACCAATTTGTATTACTAAAAAAAGTAAAAATTCCTACAATTTTTTTTCCCGGACATCCTGTATTTTAGAACAGTCAAAATTGGTACAAGTATATCTTAAGTTGTCACTTTTTTTCCTAAAAAAAATCCCTAATTACATTTTTTTGGAATTTGGTAACATAGGTAGCAGTTTACCATGATTACAGTTCAGAGAAGAATGTACTTGTTGAATGAGCATTTTGAATATTTACCTAATAAAACTATTCTAATGAATAAAATAATTGTATCAATTAAATTTATCAAACTAAAACATCTATATTTTTATTACAGAAAAAAAATATATATATATATATATATATAGAGAAAAAAA